CAGGTTAGTAACAGGTTAGTAGCAGGTAAGTAGCAGGTTAGTAACAGGTAGGTAAGATGTAAGTAGCAGGTAAGTAGCAGGTTAGTAACAGGTAGGTAAGATGTAAGTAGCAGGTTAGTAACAGGTTAGTAGCAGGTAAGTAGCAGGTTAGTAACAGGTAGGTAAGATGTAAGTAGCAGGTAAGTAGCAGGTTAGTAGCAGGTAAGTAGCAGGTTAGTAACAGGTAGGTAAGATGTAAGTAGCAGGTAAGTAGCAGGTTAGTAGCAGGTAAGTAGCAGGTTAGTAACAGGTAGGTAACAGGTAAGTAGCAGGTTAATATCAGGTAAGTAGCAGGTTAGTAACAGGTAGGTAACAGGTAAGTAGCAGGTAAGTAACACGTAGGTAAGATGTAAGTAACAGGTAATAACAGGTAAATAGCAGGTAAGTAACAGGAAGGTTAGATGTAAGTAGCAGGTAAGTAGCAGGTTAGTAACAGGTAAGTAGCAGGTTAGTTAGGTAACAGGTAGGTAAGATGTAAGTAGCAGGTAAGTAGCAGGTTAGTAGCAGGTAAGTAGCAGGTTAGTAACAGGTAGGTAACAGGTAAGTAGCAGGTTAATATCAGGTAAGTAGCAGGTTAGTAACAGGTAGGTAACAGGTAAGTAGCAGGTAAGTAACAGGTAGGTAAGATGTAAGTAACAGGTATGCAGCAGGTAAGTAACAGGTAGGTAACAGGTAAGTTGCAGGTTAGTAACAGGTAAGTAACAGGTAGGTAACAGGTAAGTTGCAGGTTAGTAACAGGTAAGTAACAGGTAGGTAACAGGTAAGTTGCAGGTTAGTAACAGGTAGGTAACAGGTAAGTTGCAGGTTAGTAACAGGTAGGTAACAGGTAGGTAACAGGTAAGTTGCAGGTTAGTAACAGGTAGGTAACAGGTAGGTAACAGGTAAGCAGCTGATGAGCAGCAGCTGTGTGTGTAGATGGATTGTGTTTTACAGAAATGTCAGCTCATTAATCAATTGGAGCACAGGTGACTAACAGAACCGGTCCAACAACCTSAAACCATATTTTTCACATGAAGTGAGACTTTAGCTTCTGTGAAGAGCCGAAGGCTATCAGCTGAAGTTTACCTGTAACTGCTGCTGCACCCCCACTCTGACCCTTCAAACCCTAAAGAAGAGATTATCTCAGTACCTGAAGCTGACCACTGAACTGTCTCCAGAAACCCAAACTGTGTCTCAAAGTATTCAAACATGATTAAACTGTAGTACTTATATTCAGCCTGTGTGAGACAGAAAACCTGGTTTTCACATGAAACACCAGATTTCTTCATCAATCCTCCTCCATCCATCTGACAGCAGCTTTAGATATTTTTGAGCTCCGAGATAAAAACATCTTGTGTTTTTGTGCATTTATTTATGTAAACATTTAAAGCTTAACTTTTTTAAAACAATTATGTCATAGCCAAGCTTCTAATCTATCTTCCTGTTGTTACTTTGTGTATTCAGCGTGTGAACTTTCTGCACCAACTCCTCACTTTGTTTCCTGGTTTGGGTCTATTTTTGTAGTTCTTGTTGGTGATTACGTGCAGCTGAAGGCATCACTTGAAACCAGGCGGTGATTGTGAGGAAATCTTCAGCCAAAGAAGTAAACAATTGTTTCAAATCATATTTAAAATGTCATATTTTCAATCATCTCGTGAAAATGTTCAACAGTAATGGAACTCTTTCATTAGAGAAGAAACTAAAACTGATTGTTTTTTCAACAAGATTCAAAATGGCCGACAAACAAACTTTACCTCAGTGTTTATAGACATTCAGCTACAGTTTGGTGTGGCGTACAGATCACCAGGAAGAGAGGAGCGGTGGTGCAGGGGTTAGAGAGGCCTGTGATAGATAGGTTGCTGGTTCAATTCCCAGACCTGTGTTCTTACAGCTCTGTAACCAGCAGAACCTCCTGACGGCTGAGGTCTTATCAGATGTCAGGTTTCAGGTGTTGGACCTCCAGCCTCCGTCACCATGGAGACGACTGTGAGCRCCATCGGAGGTGTGGCTCTGGACTCTCCTTCATCATCATCACCTTCATCATGGTGGGCAGCTGGTGTAGGAGGTGAAGGGGAAGTAAGGAGTGGCTCCCTGGTTTATGGCCTCTGATACAGTTTAAAGTCCTCACGTTTGAGCTGCAGACTCAGATTAACGAGTCTGAACAGCAGGACCGAGACCAGAACCTCCAAAGAACCGAGTCTGATCCAGCTGCCGGGGCGTGGCCTGTAGAGGACCTGTGGCCTCGGTGTTTTCAGTTCTCTATCAGCTCCGTTGTTCTTGGATCGTCCGGAGTTTCTGGATTTAATCTGGTTTAATTTTCAGTATTAATTTCTCTGTTTTTGAACCGTTCCCACCATGTCGACGGCTGTGGAGGCGACCGGCTTCATCATGAACGTCATCGCCTGGCTGATGACCGGAGCCGCGCTCTCCAACGACTACTGGAAGATCTCCACGGTGTCCGGCAGCGTCATCATCTCCCAGAGGCTGTTTGAGAACTTGTGGCACGCCTGTGCCGAGAACAGCGGCGGCATCGCCGAGTGCCGGGACTTCGAGTCCATGCTGTCCCTCCCCGGTGAGACCAGGATGTGGTTCAATGTCACCGTTTTTACCTGGTTTTTTATTTTGAACTCAGAAAAATGAACTTTTTAAGTCTTCATGCAAGAAATCAGACGTTAACGTTCGATAAGACGAAAAGTCAGAAACTGAAACTTTAGCTAAAGTTAATAGCTTCTTGTTTAAACMAAGTTTATTTAGAAATAAACAAATTAAAGTGAATTAATAATTCTTTCATAACTTGAGTATAAGAGAAAATATAAATAAAAGAGCGTGACTCAAACAAAGCGACTGATCAGAGAAGAAATGATGGCTAATGT